ATTTTTATATTTTTTTATTTTTATGTGCATTGATTTTTTTTCCGAAATTTATTTCTTTGAAAACAAAATATTCTAATATTAGTGCTCAACAATGATAACTTGAGCTTTAGGCATTGCCGAAGAAGGGAGCTCTAAAGTACACTGCAACGGGCGTATTTAATCAATTTATCTTATGGAATGTTTCCGATTAATTTAAAAAAAATTTTTTTTTGCTTTGCATATTGCAGAAGATCGCGAAAGAAATTCATTATCAGATCGAATGGTTTTTTCCTTAAAACTTCGGGTTTTAAAAAAGTCCTGGACTGGGACTGGGCCTAGATTCCAAGTTCTCCACCACTCTAGCAGATGCCTTTAGAGAGCGTTTGCTTTCCTTCGAATGAATTTCTAAACAAAAAGATCTTAGTTTATTAGTATTAAGGCGACGCATGATTAGATACGAGGCTGAGAACACATTCGAAAACGTTCGTCGTTTCTGTCATAATGTTGGCATTGTGTGACGAGTTTCCTGCGCCACTTATGCATTAGTTTGTAGAATTATTCATTTTCGGGCCGCTCTTCAGTCATTTTGCAACATTCAAAAAAGGGGGACGTAGTATGCAGCAAAAGAGTAACATCTGCGAGGGAAAAGAATGAGGCAATATATGTGGACAAGGCAGAGCGTTTTTATGGTTCTGGAATTGTAGACTGATACACAAAAATTAATACAAATAATAATAAAAAGCATTCCAAAACTATGAACTTGCTTCTTGCAAGACATGGCGAATGGTGTAACTCCAACGATTCTCATTTCTTTCGACGGAATTTTTTACAGTATCTTTAACTAATTTAAAAAATATATATATTTTTAATAAGATAATTTAGACTTGCTTTCTTAATAAAACAAGTTGTTTTGTTATAAAAAAACAAACGATCGAAGTTTCAGCTTCTTAATTCATATCAACATATATATTTCTGCAACATTTTTTTTAGTTCTAGTTTACACCAGTTCACGTCTTCTGATGCTTCAACAAAACGGGAACGGTGGCATTGACATTTCTTAAAAGATTTTTCGAAAATAGATGTTTTCAATACTTACATTTAAGCTTAATGATACCCATAAATGTTATTACGTTATTGCTTTTCCTGCCATGCCAAAAAAGTTGTAAAAATAAAAAATATTTTTCAGCCCGTTAAAATCGGTTCTCTTAATGGGGGTTTTTTGTAAATACTTTTTGTATGCTAATCAATGAGAGCCTCAAGTTTATTTGATGAAGTATTCTTAAGATGTCACGATTTATTGTAAATTTGAAAACATCTAGAGGTTAAAGGTGACCAGATCTGTCAAAACTGAGATTTGTTCGAGATGAGACGGTTCTCCGTTTTAGTGAAAAGAAATATCTATTTTATTTACATTATTTACATTTTATTTACGTTATTCATTCTATTGTTCTATATTTGGTGAAATTAACTGCGTGCTTTGAGAAACTAAATCTAATGGCATCACGATTGGAGGACCTCATTCACAATAGGGCAAAACAGTGGTCAAGTGTCTCTTAAGTGACAATGCTCAGCCAACCAAGAATGATTCCGCCTCTCCCCCAGGCCATTGTCATTTCAGATTAATACTTGTATATATCGATGACTTACGGCGCTTCTGACCTGCTTCTATCTCAAAAATTCGTGGCTACTTTTAAAAAATAAATTGTTGTATCGTTAAGAAATCCGAATGTTGTCAGAAAGATGGTAGAAAGTATTAGTTAACGATGGCCAATACTTTGAGTGATATATATTGCATCAGAGAGTTTCATACCCACCCACCATTGAAGAATTTTGTCAAAACGTTTGCATCATCCGGAAGGTAGTTTAAGGGACTTACTTAATTGTATATTTTCTTCATTAGTATCCGATTCTGGGATCTATTTATAGCTGACGATATTGAGTGCACACTTGATTCGAAGGACTTTTCCGAATCAATAACTGCCGAATCGAAAAAATTTTCGTACTCGTTGCAAGTGCAACGGGGTATATACGAAAACCAAATACATGAAAATAAGTGGAAAAAGTAAACAATCAAATAAGCAAAACAATAATCTTAATTCCTTTTAATTTATTACTACATGAACTAAGGCAAGCTAAAGTTCACATTAGATATGAAAATATACAAATAAATAATTTAATTTCATGTGGGGGAAATAACCTATTTCGCCATTTTCTTCTTACGTCATACAAACTTGTAAAGAACCAGCCGAAGGTAAAAATCATGCATATATCGCAAGGAGAACGAAGATGCAGAAGCAGTCCTTTACGTGCATGGCAAAAAAGATTTTAAGAAGAGCTTGTTCACGTTTTTCCACTCTGTCTTACAGTTTTGCAAGATTTTATTATATTTAGGAAGTGGCAACTTCCAATATATGATGGGAAACGATTCCACCATTGGGCTATGCAAGAAATCCTTCTGAAAAGTAGCCCAAATACGTTTCATTAAATAAAAGAGAAAATATGCAAACGTTTAACGAAAAGAGGTCAAATTTTAATGACCCCTCTTGTCATAGTTTATTATGTGCTTGCTTTCTGTACGAGCTATTCTGTAGCATATTCTTGACCGAATCCAAGTGCTGCTTAATAACCACCGCCATAATTTTTTTTTATAAAATTAGTTGTGTTTAACATTGATCTTCGCATTTATTTCCTTCGATTTTATTACGAACACTAGAGCATATTTGAAATGCTTTTATTTATTATTAATTCATTGTTATTTTGTTTTGAAACCGATGAACTTTTCTCCTTCAGTGCAACAATTGAGCCGTCACGTCTAATTTTTTTTTGAAACAGCAAAAATTATGTTGTAAATTTCTTTTTTTACTTCACTTTTATTTTAAAGCAGCAGTAGACTTTTAAGAAGCCTAATTTCATGTAATCTATGATATCTCCACAAATATAAATCAATGAAGTTTTTTTTTCGCTTGCAACTAGTGAATCTTTCATATTCTCTGCCTCGAACAATATGACTGCGAATATTTAGTTAAATTACAAAACAGAATCTGGGTTGGTTTAATCTTTTGGTACGGTCGGAAAATTTATACCAGATTTTAAAACAATTGTTTTTATGATACGCTTAAGGTTCGATAGAGATCGACTCATTTTTTCACTGAAGGGCTATACTTCCGTAACACGGCTTTAACGACTTTCGGGTTATAGATACCATTGCTCTCATGTTATAGCTTCTTGTCTATTACAATAAAAGTTACGGGCAGGAGGCATCGTTTTTTGAAACTTCGCCAGGTAATCAATCGGAAATGTACTTCCGTGGGTTAACCATTCAGCAGTTAATGTCAGAAGATTGTCGCTCCGATAACAAAGAGCAAAAAATTATCCTTATCTGCCCAATTTGAATCAATCTAGGTTTGATAGAAAGAGAAACACACAACAGAGATGTTTTCAAGTATTGGCTGTTTTCGTCAACATTCGAAGATGCTTATACATAAAATAACAGGAATACATTATTTAAAGCTTATATAATCCCCGTCGAATACAATTACATTTGTAAAAACCATTAAGCGCTTGCTTTTTACAGATATGTTGACTTTGAGAAAATTTAAACCGAGAAAATGTAAGCCGACTCTGAACTTTATGCTAGCCTAGGGTTAACATGCATTATAAGATAATATTTAAGACACATTTGTTGACGTTCCAATAATAAGAATAAATGTGGCATGCCTTATCTGCAGAAGGGGCGAATAAGAATTAATTATAATTGGATTTTTCTAAAATCAGTTGTCAGAGCTTCATATGTTTTTACAAGAGCATACTGCGGTAAGTATTTGAAGTTTGCATACTTCTTTCTTTGTTTTTGCCTGTGGGTATTCATATTGAGTATAACAAAGTCTTTTTATATAAATAATATATAAATTCGCTTCTCAGCCGTTTGTACATGCGATCATGCAGTTAAAGAGAGAAAGCTGAAAAAGTCTTAAATAATGTCCAGCTAATTAAATTGCCGATACGAATACTCAGCTTTTTTTTGGCTACATATTAAAATATCAAATTCTGACTGCAGATTTCGATTTTAAATTAAGTTGAATTTGGCTTGTTACACTTAGAGAATATCTCCATCGCAACTGAAAAGTCAAATATAAATTTTTATTTGCAAAAGAAGAAATCAAAACAAAGAGTTTAATAAACGCTACGCTTCTCACACTCTCTCTTTACTTATCGTCTCTCCCACAACTGCACACACTTTAGGAAACCAAACACATAAACATTTATGAACTTGCATTCCTTCACCGGAAAAAAATTATTTTTCAGGTTTCTGTAAAAAAATTTCAAACTTACCTTCCAAAGTTAAGAAAATTTATGGAATTTTAAGAGCTTTGAAGAGTTCTTTAACAATGTTTCTGATATTTAATCAATTTATTTTGTTGTTCTGTTTTCCAGGTACTTTTTTCCTATTTGATCTGTCACAACAAAGTAAAATTATTTAACACTTCTTTTGCTTTTATAAAAATATACATATACATATAAGATAAATATATATGATCAACACACAGAATCTTTAACAATTATATATCGATATTCTGGTTTAAATTTAACGAATCTAAAGTAAATTTTGTGATTAATATTTTATTGCACTGTTTCGTTCTTTCTCCAATTAAAACACATAAGACAAAATTCTTCTTTTTCTTGGCTATCAAGAATAAAAAAACACAATTTGTTGCTATTATTCTTGTTGTTCCTTTATAAAAATTATCTTGAGAGCAGGGCTGTTTGCAGTGCATTTAATAAATCAGAGTTGCTTGTCTTCAAAATTTTTCATATTATATAGAATGTTATTAACCCACTAATCATAACGCGAAATACAATATTAAAGCATATGATAAACCATTTTGTGGTTTTTTGGTAATTTACTATACATTTCAAATGACTTTAACACTTTTACAACAATTATAAATATATTATTATTAATAACACCCAGTATCGTAAGTTCAACTATTTTCACCACAAATTAACATTTCTCTCTTTCTCTCTAATTTGATTAGTGCTATTAAATCCCATTTGTCCCATTTGTTGTTCTTATACCAAAATCGTTCAAAAATTTATAAATTTTGTGGAACACATAAATAAAATTTATGAAAAAAACTGGTTAAACAAATAGCTATGAGCACCACCGTCACTTTTAAGGCATGGCTGAACAAAAAACTGCGTGAATTAAATACAGACGAAACGGTGTTTGGTTCCTATATTTTGGGAATCCTTGAAGGCGGTGAAAATGATGAAGAGAAAAAAGAAGCCTTGGATGGTATACTTGGGGAGATCTTAGTAAGTTACCGTTTTTCCGCTCTTTTAAGAAATTTCCTTATTATTAAGGAGGGATCCTTATTTCCACTTTTTTAAATATATATTTTTTTTATTAGAATGATAACATCGACGAGGTTATACAATCCATAATTGATAAATGGCAAGAATATCAACCGAACGTAAATGAAAGTAATAATTGTGATAAAGGGCTTGATGTGGAGAACAAATTAACTAAATTATTAGAAGCACATAATATACAAACCACAGTTAAGGAACGTACATACACAGAGGAAGAACGACGCATTCGTGAGCAGATATTGGCTCAGTATTCGCAGGTTGGTAAAAATAAATATAAATAAGACAGGGTAGAGATGGGAAAAAAGGGGATACACTTTATTTTCACCGTGGCGGGGTATAATGACGTACTTTTATGTTTTTTATTTCGCAAACTTGAATTAATTTAAGCTGTTTTCCGATTGGATAGCATGTTGTAGTTACATTTTTATCGTCCGCTGCGACAATTATATGAGTAAAATAATGAAGCATATATTTTTCATTGTTGCTCACAACCCTCTTTTACTTCCCGATTCTTATCCCGTCAAACGTAGTGTGATGTGAATTCGCAGAAGACAATTGGAGTGACGATTTTTGATATTAAACATCAGTTCGGGAATACGCTTCGAAAGCGTTTAAGGTTTTTGTCAGCGTATACAAGACTGCGAGGTGTTTCGCTGTAGCAAGATTTGTTTTTTCTGAGTAGGGGGATTGTAAATAATTCCTAAAACACCTCTAGGAGGGACTTCAACCAACTGTCGGGCTAAAGTTAGTCGTAATGATTGGTTTTTGCCTCGATGGGTTTTAACGTAGTTCGATAACGATTGGCGGCCTCTTGCAAGTTTCCTTCTTTTATAAGAAGAATAGAAGCTAGTTGCAAGGCAGTTTCTAATATTGTATCCATGCGTCTGTCTAATTCGAAAGGAGTAGTCGGAGCACTAGAGCTAATACTCAAATCCCAATGCTTAAAGCAATCCCAAATGCTTAAAACTAGTAATCTAGCAATAGATAAGAGAATGCTCTTACTTTAGTTTTGTGTAAATGTTTCACAACCTTCTTTTTCTAATTTTTAACCTTTCTTATTTTTATTTTAATTTTTTTTCGCAATAGTTCTCTTCGTACACCTTCTTTGTGCACTTGTAAAATGGCTTCGATTTTTTGCTAAAGGCCGTTAGTTGGATTTTCCCTTTACATGATTTGAAACAAAGTACCATATGTTGGGAATGGAAAGAGCACAGAGCTAGTTTCAACAAATTGCAGCGCTTCCATTCTGTTAAAGTGTGAGAGAACGAGATCATTATTCAGCTAAAATTAAAAGTCGTCATTATTCTGTTAAGTGTGACAAATCAATGTCTTTAATCTGTTATGAGAAATCGAGGCTATTATTCTGATAAAATGAGAAATGGAGTTCATTATTCTTATATTCAGGTTTATCAATTGAATTTTTTCAGATGAACAAACTTATATCCCCAAAAAATTTAACTTGGCTGTCTTGCTTATTCTGGGGAAATTTTAATTCGCTAAAATTGATTGGAACTTGTCTCAGTACTCCTCATTATATTAGACAATTATCTGCAGTTGACGGATGTCTTTCTTCAAAAAATTTCCAGATAGCTATCTATTTAGGGGTTATATGATAAAATACTAAATCTAAAGAAAAAAATGAATTGAAATTATTGACGTCTGCAATGGATTAAAAGTTGAAGACAATATAAATTTAAATAGCGTTACTATAAAACTAAAAATTGGCAGTTACCGGCGTACTCCTAAAACTCCAGCCTTTGTGACTTTAATAGACTTCATTGATCGGTCAGACATATGAAGATTTTTATTATAGATCTTATAAGTTTCACGGGGTGTATTACGAAGTTACTAGTTTGTACGCTATTGTGGTAAATAAGTGCTTTAACTTGCTTCGTAAACCTTCCACGCTTATTAAATGAAATTGTCTTAAGCAAAAAGGGAGAGAAGTTACGTCTTTTATTAATTTTTTACACACGTGCGACCTTATATCTTTTTGCAAAGCCAAAACATCTTGGACATTGGTATTACGTTCTATACCATTTACAGATGAATTACCGCTGCCCCCACTTATATGTTTCTCAGACTCCTCGTCTGAATGAACGGCGTTATAATCGTCATCGCTAACCTCAGTCTAGTCTTACGTCTTTTTTCCAATGTAGACAGATCGATGAAACTGACGTGTGTAGCTTGTTGTCCAGATGACCGAGAAATATTGTCGCCGTGTCCATTGAGTCGCCAGAGTAGGGGTCGCAGAAAACAAAATAATGCAATTTTAAAATATTAATATTCAGGTAGAGGTTCACTTAAGATATTTTCTAAGTGCTTTGATAATTTACAATTTTCTTGATTCTATCAAAAGAAAAGTAGAAACAGAGACGGAAAATGTCGATTTTTATATCTCGGAAATTCTGTTTTATAAGCGATATATGTGAAAAGGGTTTTAGTGAAAATAATCAATCAAGCGAAAAAAACGGTTTAAATTTGTGCCTAATTTAATATTCATACGTCAACTTTTATGCTCTTTCTAGACTGAGGTTAGCGATGACGATTATAACGCCGTTCATTCAGACGAGGAGTCTGAGAAACATATAAGTGGGGGCAGCGGTAATTCATCTGTAAATGGTATAGAACGTAATACCAATGTCCAAGATGTTTTGGCTTTGCAAAAAGAACGACGCGAGCTGGCACGTTCCGAAGCGGCTGCCAAAAAGCAAAAAGATAAAGAAGACCGTGAACGTCAAAAGCAGTTACGTGAAGAAAAAAAGGAGAAGCGTAAAACTGTTAAAGGTGAACGTAGAAGATAGCTGAGCTTCCCAGAAGTCTAGAGACATATATTCGAATTGTAAGAATTTCAAAGATATAAAAGAAAAATTGTAAAATAAAGTCAACCGAAAAAGAATATCAGTACACCATAACGAGAATTATAGTAAATCTATTTAGTTTTTTTTTTATTACACCCACTACCATAAGATGGAAGTATACTCATTTTGCTTTTCTCACAGCGCTAGTAACATTTAAAAAGAAGCTTTAGACACGCTATAAAGCATATATATTCTTGATCAGCGTGAAATTCTGAGTTGATTTAGCCATGTTTGTCCGCTTGTTTGCCAGCGTGGTGTGCCTTGTTGGCAATCTCCTGGTCGCAAAAATTGGGATATCAGCTTCAAATTTGGTAAAAAAAATCGGAAGTTTTTGCACGCAAGTTGTTATTGAAAATGGGCCAAATTTGTCAAAGCAGAAGCACGTAGTGCAGCCTGAGCTGAACGCAACTCCGTTTTTTCTTGATTTTTGTTCGCTGGTCGAAAATTATTAAAGTTGGAAGGCTCAAATTTTCCACATCTACTTTTCGAAACAGTCCGCTCGTTACGTGTAGAAATCAGCTATGCCCATACAAAGTTACGAGTAATTAAATTATTTTTTTCCACTTTTTTGATCTTTTATGCTTGTTTATCATAAAGCAAGTAAGACAGTGTTTAAAAACATGTTGTATATTCCTCAAGTAAAGTTATATGACCTGCCTGAGAGTGGTTTAATTTTAAATTAAATTAAATATGGTAGATTTTAAAGTAAATATGGTAGACACCGCGATTAAGTTTTTCGTAATAACACCGGCAATATGTTTGTCAAATGAAAGAACTTGAAGAGTAGAATGCGAAAAGCATAATGTCGGGTATGTGAAATTCGACACCTGCCGAGTATAACTTTCTCAGTTGTTTTTTGCTTAGTTCATATATATTTTTATACCATAGTCGAATTGGAACTAGAATTTGTATCACTTGCAGAGACTTATTTATATGCTAATAGGAGAATTAGGTTTAATAAGTCAAGATGAACAAATTGAACAAATTTCTTCAATTTAGAGCTCTTTTTATTTGAAATATGATTAAATTTTCTCAATTTGTCACTCGATTCAAATTTTCCATCAACTTCTATGTGCGTTTCTAAAATGAATTTGAATTTACCTTATTTTACCCTTCACAGGGTTTATACAAAGTACCATATGTTCAGAATAGAGAGAGCACAAGATTGTTTTTAATCAATATGATACTTGTGATGTTAATGTGAAATGAATGAAAATAAAAAAAGCTATGCATCTTTCTATGAAAGTAAACAAATAAATATTTTTCGAATATCAATTCAAATGCATTGAAAAAGTCTGTTTGTTAAAAAACACTCATTATTATGAGATATGTGTTACCCCTTCTCAAGCTTTTAGACAGAAAGTTATTTTTTTAAAATGAGCTGTTATTTCTTTTAAACAAAAGCTGCACATCTTTCTATGAATTTTTACAAAATATACAAACTTTTCGACGAAAATGAACAAAATACATAAACCTTTCTATGAAAATGAACAAAAGCTTCAACTTAAGAGATCTTACTTAAAGGACAAAGTTTTACGTGCAACTTTACTTGGTGTTTGCGACGCTTTTAGAGACAACATGCGATCGTCCATTGCTGAAATATTATATAGAGAACTCTTAAACTTAAACTTTTGATTTCATCAAAACTTATTTGGTGGCAAAATACGCATAAAGTTCTACCTCCCGCTGATGGAAAGGTTGTGATTGCAAAAATTGGGAGGGGCAGCAGAGACTTAACATTTGTGCTCTGATTTCCTTGCTTGATTTCACATTTGAGAATGGTCGTAATGTGACCACAAAAGACTTTTTTTTTTAATTTCAAATTCGGATATTTTAACATTTTCCCAAAGCATTTTTTTTTGTTTAATAACTAAATACGTGTCTAATAGTTTCAGCGGATATCATTATATTATATGGTTACCTCTCCTTCCGTTAAAAATTTTTTGAAAAAATCGCTATTCTCTCGTTTTTCTATTCAAGGCAGGCTAACAGTTTTACAATTTTCTTGATTCTATCAAAAGAAAAGTAGAAACAGAGATGTAAAATGTCATTTTTTATCTCTCGGAAATTCTGTTTTATAAGCGATATATGTGAAAAGGGTTTTGATGAAAATAACCTATCAAGCGAAAAAAACGGTTTAAATTTGGGCCCAATGTAATATTCATACGTCAACTTTTATGCTCTTTCTAGACTGAGGTTAGCGATGACGATTATAACGCCGTTCATTCCTACAACGAGCCTGAGAAACAAGGTTTATAAACTATAGTACCTTTAAAAAAAACTTGATCTCTGTCTTATTTTGTCATTGCTCGCAAGTCAGCAACAGATTGATAGGCGCGGCTATTAAAATTATTATTAATAGTTATTTGGTTTCTACTCACTGCTAAAATCAATTTATTTATTCCACTTATTTATTTGTTCCACTTATTCAAGAAACTCAACTAAAAATTTTGACAGTCGAGTTTAATTGACTCTTAAAGTATAGCTTTAAATATAAAACTTTATTGTTTATAATTAATGGAACATATCTTTTACTTCGTACAATTATCTAGGTCAGAGTCCTCCGCACGTTGGCTGAGAAAAATTCTGTTTTATGAATTGTAATGAAAACCGCATCAAAACGGGTAAAATTAAATATGCCTGCCACCTAATCGTTGAAGTGTTGGACAAGCGCGGCAGCCAAAAGCAGAAGGTTTGTTTTAAAAAAAAAAGGAAATAAAAAGATAAGGATACTTATAAGATGCTTCTTCTTTTGCAGCCTGACGAAGACTTAGTAGGTGCTACTGCTGAAGAATAAATAAGTTAAAAAAATTCATAAAACTAACCTGAAAATCGGGCGCAGCAGCTAAAAAATCTACATATATGTCAGGATTTTTGAAAATTCTTTTTTTCTTCTATTTTCTCCCATTCTTTTACTTATCCTATAGGCATAACTTATCTATTTTGCAATATTGTTACTGGCAAAGTCCCAATTCGAAAATTGTCGTTGAGGTTGAACCAGCGATATAGTAAATTTATTTAACCCCAGATAATTGATATAAAAAAATCCTCAACATTATTTGGAAAAAAAGACCCCTTTCGTACAAATAGATAACGCTTTCATTATTTATATAACAATTCTGCACAGCAAAAAGAGACGAATGATGAATTTGCCGCAATTTTTAATGCTTACCGTATTGGGTTCGACAACAATTCTCTATTTAATAGTGAAAGCAGCTTTCAGTTATGGGAAATATGGTGGTATACTGCATTCTAAACACAATAAACAATACTTGGTGTCATATGAAAGGTGTTAGAAGTAAGCCGCATATAGCTGATGTTTTGCGACGTTTCTACACCCTCTATAGTGGACAACCACCATTTACCGGTTTTTTCGCTTGCCTGAAACCGATAGTATTAATGTTGGATCTTGTTGCTATTCGTCAAATTTGGGTAGTAAATGCTGATCATTTACAAGATCGCGGTTTATACAATAATGTAAGCACCGATCCATTAACACAAAATCTTATTCAATTAGATGGTACGGCATGGAAAGAATTACACGGTTAAACTAAGCGTTTATGGTTAACAGATGTAAGTTGTGGTCTTAGTATTTTTGAAGTTATACTCAATTGAATTAAAAGTTATTTGAAAAAGTTACAAAACTGTCAATGTTTCCTTGCTTTTCATAGATATTTCTATGGACGCTACTGATCGGTTTAATGAGATACGTTAAACTGAGCATAACAACTATAATGCATTCTCAAGGCGGTAAATCATTAGTTTGCACTGGCTGTGTCGTACAAGTGGGATCGTCAGTTTGCTATTCATATTCGTTCTCATAAATTTCACGGGGAGTTTTAAAGCCGCTTACAATGACAAGAAATCATCAATCAATATTTGCTTTTATTATAAGCTTTTATTAAACTTTTTCCAAATCACTAATCAATATTCGCTTTTATTATAAGATTTTATTATGCTTTTCTCCAATTTTGAAGGGTATAGAAGAAACCTTCGATACCCATAGTGACATCCTTACTACGTCTGTGTATATGTATATATATCTATCAAACTCTTTCCGAGTTCCCCTAGATACGAAATTATAAAGTTTGCAATTGTTATGTTGATCATTGTGATCGTAGTGGTAGTGTAGAGTTTTAACAAAATATACTATAAAATAACTTATATAAAAACAAAATATAAGCATATATAAGAAGCAAAAATTTATCAAACGACGAATACATGTTCAAATGTAAAATTCACAAGCAAATAAGTCAACAATAAATAAAATAAAGCATAACTTAAGCATTTCAAGAAAACCATGTGCTATTAGGTAAGGAAAATAAATATAATAATTGTGTAATTAAGAGTTTAAAAAGAAAAAACCGCAATTTTTTTAACAAAGCCGAATATATTTAAAATATGTTAAGAAAACAAAAACAAAAAAACTAAAAAATTGTAAATAAAAACGTTTTTTTAAATTATACTGAAAGGAAATGATTACAAAAGTAAAAACAAAAAAAAAACAAAAGAAAATTTTGTAAAAAATAATTTTAAAAAATATTACATATTACATATATACACGGTGCATACATATAGCTAAAAAGGTCGAAACTTGAAAATGGAACCTTCTTATCGACATCAATCAGCCCCCTAATTAGTTGTCAGCAAAACGTTGAAAAGAGTCACAATAAGAGAGACATTCAGAAGAAAATGTATTTTCTTTCTTGCTTCGAGATTTTTTATATTTATATGTGCAATTTGATAAGTAAGTAAAAAAAAAAAAATAGAAAGTTAGGGATTTGCTTTAAAAATTCAAACGCTTTTATTATTTATATTTTATTATATATATAAAATATGTTTACATGTCATATATAGTTCTGCTATTCTGCTTTTATCCTCAAAGGTTGTATTATAACAGCTTTCAAAAATTATATTAAACGTAACTGGGCTGCCCGTGAAGTAGGTTTTAATCATTTGGATGGGGTTTATAATTTTAATTTAAAACCATTTGTTCCTTGTTAGGATTCTGACGGTCCAGATAAGATTTATTCAAAAGATCGCGAAGCCATAAAAAATTAATTGTTAACTTAATGTTGCTTTCTGCACCGGCTTTACAGAAGCAATTAAATGATGCCGTTAACAATTGGTAACACAATTTCCCCAAGAAGTGGCCTTATCTTATAGATGAAATGGTAGAGAAATTTTCTACTGGTGATTTTAACGCTATAAACGGTGTGCTTCAAACTGCTCATTTACTATTCAAACAATATCGTTACGAATTTAAATCTCAAACTCTGTGGGAAGAAATAAAATTTGTACTAGATCGCATATCCAAGCCCTTAGGTAAGTGAAGACTGTCTTGTCTGCCCATTGAAAAATGGGTTTTCAAATTTATTATTATCGATGTTATTTCCAATTGAAAACAGTCTGTTTTCGGAAGTGAAGTTTTCATTTCAAGCAAATATTTTTGTGCTTACTTTTAAAACATGGCATAAACTGGTTTCAAATCTTTAAAAATTTCTAATAAATGACGAAATGTAAACAGCAGGGATTAGTTACTTTGAATCGAAGATATACACGAATTTATATGCGGAATAACAATTTTCTCAAACATTTTTGGCAGTTCGCTTCTCTACGCTGTTCCTATAACCCCCTTTATGAACAGGGACGAGAAAACTACTGTTCTAGTACGCTGGGAACACCATTGTTTTTAACGATAGGCTGAAAATACGCGCTATAGCCACACAGAGTTCATCAGCATAGGCAACAAGTATACAGGATTGGATTCCATCCGGGCCTGAAGAACAACTTCTTCTTCATGGTGCTGTTCTACGTCGAACTTCGTCATTGGAAATAATAATGTTTGGAATAAAGATCCTATCATCTAAGTTAAACGCCCTGGACATTGCTGCGAAAAACGAGCACGCAACAACAACCGGGCATTCAACGGCCCATAAGAGACTGTGCTAAATAAACTACCGCAACGTGATCGCGTAAAAACCGTTGCGCGAAAGCAGATACAAGGAAATGATGAGGCGAATTGGCGGTTACAACCTCGGTGAAGTTGTAAGTAGGGTGTGAAACGATCAAAAGACTTTTGTAATGATACAGCAGATGTTCAAGATCGGAGAGCGAAGCGAGTAGTTAGTAGTTAAACTAAGTGAAAATGAATAGTGCTCCAGTGGGCTACGCTGCCGTAACCACTAAGACAACCGAATCTGAATGAATAAAACCGCCACCAGTTTGTTTATTAGAAAAACACAAAAAATTTGAACTTTTTGCCGTATGAATAAAACCCCCACCAGTTTGTTTACTGGAAAAACACAAGAAATTTGAGCATTTAAGATAGCAATAGACGGGTGTGTACCACGCCTTCGTCGACTGACCGCTTACTATAGCTACTAAAGTAAAGTTTACCGCCGTGAGATTTGAATGCGCGTACATTAACCTTATGATTCCGGTTTTTGGAATATCCAAATACTAATTTTACAATCCTACACTCTTTGGGAGCTGATAAACCCGCGGTTTGTCCTTTATTCCCTGCAATTGTGTTGAAAGACATTTTTGTATAAAATGTATTTAATTTAAAATTAATGCCAACAAATATCGTTTAGTGTTTCAAACTATTACCTGTACCGATGGTGGAGTTCATAATTTGACAGTCATCAATGAAGGCAACACCATTCAAGACTTCACCCAAGATAGCCCTTGCGATTTTGCACTTGCTTGTATTGTGTAAAACTGCGATTGCTTGGGGTATTGTTCTTCAGGTGTATTACATCAGAACCCCTTAAAGATGGCAGGTGCGCGGTAAGAGGTGTCAATTGAGAAATGCGAGCTTTACATCATCACAAAGACACAAATGGATGGCAGTAAATCGGTCGGGGTGAGTTCACATGTAGTGATCGATGTTCCGTCTGGAGGAGCGAGCAGCTGCGAAAAATAATAATCTTGAAACTGACTGTAATGTACTAGCTGCAGCCACTCAAGTTGTTGTAAGTATGGAGTTGAATCGGGCTGCTTATGACACGTTAAAAAATGTTTATCTTATGGTGAAAATGATGAGAAAAATTTCTCCGGAATCAGGTAAGAGAAACGAGCTAATATGCAAAAAATGCAGCTAATGTACACGTTTTTGCTACTAATCAGGACATACTCTGGTCGCTGCTACGTCTTCTATCTCACTTTTTATTCCATAATGAAAGCATTAAGCTGGTACAAACTTTGAAAGTTGGGATTTCAATATGGGAATTAGGCCAAGGTTAAAATTATTTTTATGAACTCTTTTGATTGACTTCTATAAGAAACGAAAAGAAAGAAGGGGCAACTTAATAACTATTTGCAATGCAGCCAATGTCAATCTATGAGAGGTCGCTTTTGTGTTTGTTATTGAACACTTTCTCAAAGGGCTAAATACTAAATGCAAACCCTTTGAATGAGAAACAACAAATTTCGACTTAAATGTGATAATGTACATCGATTAAAATCAAAGAAGGCTTGGGAAAAAATCTAAATTTTATCATTACGCCCGTGAAATACCTTGCAACGAACTGAGTGATTCTGCGAAGAAATTTCTAATCCATCTAAGCACGGATTTGTACTACTTTAACAGACTCCGTGAGGAAATCTTTCGTTTAACAACAATTCTGTGCTCTTTTTATATATATGGCACTACGACTTCCTCATCGACGCCCCGTCTTCCTAGAAGGCGGTGCTTACTACTGTCTTCGCCGTTGGAAGTGTTTCTCTGCGTAACGTTGAACTACATTTCGCAATGTTACGACTTCTTTGACTACACAGTAAATACAGCAAGCACAGATGGAGATAGGACAGCAGGACATAGATTTGGGAGAAGTACCGATGGAGATAGGACAGCAGGATATAGATTTTGGAGAAGTACCGGTAGAAATAATAGATTGTGGAGGAGTACCGGTAGACGAAGAAGAACAGGTGAGCACCGAGTACGAAGAATTTTTAGGATTTACCGATACAGACAGCATAGTTTCACATAAAAAAGTTGCAGGGGATCAAACGGAGGGACAGACGGACAGCAAACTTAGCACAGAAAGCCCCAATATTATAAATTTAGATTATAATGTAAAAGATGACGAGGGACCGTCAACATCGGCGGCGGCAGCAGGGAGGGGAAGGATCAACGCCTTGAACCAGAAGGCCAGGAAGTAGAAAAAGCTGAGAGAGTGGTGCCGGACATTGAGGCCGTGAGGAAATTGACTCGAAGAATCGGGCTTGGAGAACCACAAATAAACGGTAAATTCAAATTTTTTACTTTAGATAAAGAAGTCCACCCGCAAAATTAAGATTAACGTAAGATTCCGTGCATGCCAAAGGTAAGTTTGCATTTATCCTTAGTTATTCTTATTTATAATTTATTTAGTTACTTCTATTTCATTTTAGTTTAAAAAGCAGGCATACACCTCCGCTCATCGTTTCAGCAAATGCGATACCTCCGTAGGCCAAAAGGTAAGTTTGTCATCATCTTTATATACAAAATTTATTAATCACAATATCTTTGTTTTGCAGATGTCAATTTAAACTGAATTTTCTGATTTTTTTTCTTTATATTTTTGGTTCATTTTAATTAAATAATTTGTAAAAATGACAACCATGTGAGAATAAGCGTACACGTTTCTTTACATTTTTCAATAATTTTGTATTTATTTGAATAAAATTGGTGCCTTTAAAGAGATTTAAAAAATGTAAGTTTATTCGGACTAATTAAAAACAACTTTAAGGTGCCCTTTTTCTTTCAGATATCTAAGGCTGTTAACGATTCTTATCGCTCCTTCAATAATTCTCAACATCCCTTCGTTTATTTGAATATTATTACCAGCCGGCAAGAAGTCGATGTTAATCTAACCCCCGATAAACACCAATTGATGCTTAGCAATCAGTGAGGAGATCTCTTCATCTTACTTTTGATCAGATACCAACCACCTACAAACTTCAAAATACCACCATTTCAGATGTGCAGTCTCAAGCA